ACATCTCTGCCTCTAGCTTCAGTTGCAACCATCAGATTGAATTATGTTCTTTCATCTTTCACAGACTGAGCTGTGCTTGAGTGTTAGCCTTCCATCTTTCACAGAGGAGGGTTATTAAAAAAAAAAAGTAGTGTCGGCCAGGTGTGGTGGTTTACACTTGTAATCCCAGTACTTTGAGAGGCCAAGACGGGAGGATCGCTTGATCCAAGGAGTTTGAGACCAAACTGGGCAACATAGCGAGACCTTGTCTCTACAAAAAAAAACATAAATAATTAGCTGGGTGTGGTGGTGTATGCCTGTAGTCCCAGCTACTCAGGGAGCTGAGCCGGGAGAATTACCTGAGCCTAAGAAGTTAGGCTATGGTGAGCCGTGAGCATGCCACTGCAATCCAGGCTAGGCCACAGAGTGAGACTGACTTCGGGGGGGAAAAAAATAGGGTCATTCTGTGATCTTCACTTTTGTTTACGTTGGAGTCTCACTCTGTGGCTCAGGCTCAATCTCCAGGGTTCAGGCGATCCTCCCACCTCAGCCTCCAGAGTAGCTGGGACTATAGGCACATGCCAACACATCCAGCTAATTTTTTAATTTTTTGTAGAGACAAGTTCTCACCATGTTGCCTAGGCTAGTCTCCAGCTCCTGGGCTCAAACAATCTTGCCTTGGCCTCCCAAAGTGCTCAGTGCCAAGCCTGGACTGTTGAGAGGGACACTAATCGTATCATCATGTGGTGTCCCCTTAAGGAGAATCAGAGGGAAATTTTCTCAGACCTCAGAACCAGAAAAGGCTGTGTTCTGCTGAGCAACTGCACATTTCCATCCTTTGAGGATACTGTGAATTGTGGAACACAGAGTTTCTCAACTAGAATCCAGCTGATCAGAACAGATTCAGAATAGTATTCAGAATAGTATTTAGGAAATAAGTATTTAGAGACTAGGTTACTGTTGGAAATTACCTTCTTTATATTAAAAATTTATTTCTCATATAGACATAGTTTAAAAAGTCAAATAATGCAAGGCCTCTAGTGAAAAACAGCAGTCCCCAAGCCCCCTCCCCATTCATACTCCCAGAGTAGCCATTTGAATTCTTTTGGCTATTTCTTCTGGCAGTTATTTGCCTCCACATTTCTAAATAATTTATATTCTTTGCTTTTTTTTTTTTTTTTTCCATTCTTAGGGATTTTTCTTTTTCCTTAAAAGGATGGATGAGGACTTGGCATTCTTGCACTCCCCTTACCTGCCTCCACTCACCCTCCTCTTTCTCTCCCAATGTAATTATGTCACAATTGTTGCATAAGACAGTATGATCACACCAATATTTTGCATAGCTAAGTCATATAATAGAGTCTAATTACACTTCCTTCTTTGTACAATTCTGTTTTCTGTGGAGTTGTCTGTTTTTGTTTTTTGCTTAGTTTTCTGGATACCTATCACTAATATAGTCCCACACTTTCCTCCATATCGTTAACATCTCTCAGATAATTATGCACTGAAAAACTGCCAGCTTCGGTTTCTTCTTGAATATAGCTTACCATCTTCTTGCTCCAACCTAGGTCAGCCATACAGATAATAAACAGAGAATTTTAGAAGTTCCCTTCAATATCTAGGAAACACCCCCCCCATTTCCCCTCTCATGTTGGAGCTTCTGTTTTTTGTATACTATCTCTTCCCTTTCCCTGGTTCAGTCCCACATTTAAAGTTGGAGATTTCCTAGTATTTTGCTGAGAAAGAATGAATGGGAAGTAAACTTTGTAAGAACTTGCATGCCCAACAATGTCTTTATTCTTCATTCGATTGGTAAATTGACTTCAGCCTGTCCCTGATTTAAGAGGAACAGCTGAGAACATCAGTGCTCTGTTCAAGTCAGCTCTCCCTACCCAGAGGAAGAGCTGAGACCAACACATTAAGTTTATTCCTCCCCAAATCACCAATCAGGTAAGTCACTCATCTCTACTAAAACCAGGCATGTTATAGCTAACGGAGCTTCCTACTCTGGGAAAAAAACATTATGGAAAAGAAGCATATATGCAACTGATTATTGTATATAAATTAATGTGTGAAAAAAAAGAAGCAGCTTTTTCTGTGTCTTTCCAGAGATGTTCTATTTATATATAAGAAAATATACATATTATCTCTTTCTAGGTCCTTTTTGTTTTAACACATAGTAGCATTCTGTTGTTTCTAATCATTTATCTCAGATTTGGTTCTATATCCTAAGGAGTTTATCAATACTTTTCTACTGATTCAGAGTACTTATATGACTGTACCATATAGGTGACCCTTGAATAACACAGGTTTGAACTGCTTGGGTCCGCTCACATGCAGATTTTCTTCTGCCCCCGCTACTCCTGAGACAGCAAGACCAACCCCTCCTCTTCCTCCTCATTCTACTCAATGTGAAGATGACAAGGATGAAAACCTTTATGATGGTCAGTTCTGCTTAATGAATAGTAAAAATATTTTCTCTTCCTTCTGATCTTAATAACATTTTCTATTTTTTTTCTTCTTTGAGTTGGAGTCTCACTCTGTCGCCCAGACTGGAGTGCAGTGGCCACTCCCGGCCACCGCAGCCTCGACCTGCTGGGCTCCGGAGATCCTTCTGCCTCAGCCTTCCAAGTAGCCAGAATTACAGGCATGCGCTACCACGCCTGGCTAATTTTTTGATTTTAGTGTAGAGATGAGGTCTCGCCTGCCCAGGCGGGTCTCGAACCCGTGGGCTCAGGCAATCCACTCACCTCAGCCTCCCAAAGGCACGGGATTACAGGCTGAACCACCGAGCCCGGCTGCATTTTCTTTTCTCTAGCTTACTTTATGGCTATAATACAACGTGTAATATAGATAACATATAAAATGTGTGTAAACTGACTGTTTATGTATTCGCAAGGTTTCCAGTTAACAGTAGGATATTGGTTATGTTTTTGGAGTCAAGTTATATGTGCGGTCCTGTGCAGTGGCCTGTACTTATAGTTCTAGCTACTTGGGAGGCCAAGACAGTAGGATTGCTTGAGTCCAGGAGTTCTAGACCAGCTTGGGCAACATAGTGAGACCTTGTCTCAAATAAAAAATTAATCATAAAAAAGTTATATGCAAATTTTCTATT